ACCCCATAGAAAATCTTTGGAGGGAGTTGAAAGTCCGTGTTGCCCAGCGACAGCCCCAAAACATCACTGCTCTAGAGGAGATCTGCATGGAGGAATGGGCCAAAATAGCAGCAACAGTGTGTGAAAACCTTGTGAAGACTTACAGAAAACGTTTGACCTGTGTCATTGCCAACAAAGGGTATATAACAAAGTATTGAGAAACTTTTGTTATTTACCAAATACTTATTTTCCACCATAATTTGCAAATAAATTCATTAAAAATCCTACAATGTGATTTTCTGAATATTCTTTTCTCATTTTGTCTGTCATAGATGACATGTACCTATGATGAAAATTACAGGCCTCTCTCATCTTTTTAAGTGGGAGAACTTGCACAATTGGTGGCTGACTAAATACTTTTTTCCCCCACTGTACATACATACATACATACATACATACATACATACATACATACATACATACATACATACATACATACAGCTGTGGAAAAAATTAAGAGACCACTGCACATTTTTCTTAAATCAGCATCTCTACATGTATGACAGCCATTCCATTCCAGTGTCTGTTGATTTCCAACACAGGCACACCTCATTCTTCTGAATTAGGTACTGATTAAATCTTATTTAACGAGGAAAAGTATAAAAATTGCAATAGGACCAGCTTGATGGCAACAACAGTGCTAATAGTACCTCAAAAGTAATATTAATCAAAAAATAACTATTGACCATACCAAAAGAGTTGAAAAGGAAAGATTTGAGTGAGGAAAAGAAGGGTTCAATTCTGGCCTTAATGGCAGAGGGATACAGTGAGCGTCAGGTTGCTTCCATCCTTAAAATTTCAAAGACGGCGCTTCATAAGAATAAGGTCAAGCAGCAGACATTGGGGACAACAAAGCTACAGACCGGCAGAGGGCGAAAACGACTCTACTGACCAGGATGACCGCCAACTCATTCGAATGTCACTCAACAACCGTAGGATGACATCAAGTGACCTACAAAAAGAATGGCAAACGGCAGCTGGGGTGAGGTGCACGGCGAGGACGGTTCGAAACAGGCGCCTAGGGGCAGGGCTGAAGTCATGCAAAGCTAGAAAAAAGCCCTTCATCAATGAGAAGCAAAGAAAAGCCAGGCTGAGGTTTGCAAAAGACCATAATGATTGGACCGTAGAGGACTGGAGTAAGGTCATCTTCTCTGATGAGTCCAATTTTCAGCTTTGTCCAACACCTGGTCGTCTAATGGTTAGACGGAGACCTGGAGAGGCTTACAAGCCACAGTGTTTCGCACCCACTGTGAAATTTGGTGGAGGATCGGTGATGATCTGGGGGTGCTTCAGCAAGGCAGGAGTCGGGCAGATTTGTCTTTGTGAAGGACGCATGAATCAAGCCACGTACAAGGTTGTCCTGGAAGAAAACTTGCTTCCTTTTGCTCTGACATTATTCCCCAACTCTGAGGATTGGTTTTCCAGCAGGACAATGCGCCATGCCACACAGCCAGGTCAATTAAGGTGTGGATGGAGGACCACCAGATCAAGACCCTGTCATGGCCAGCCCAATCTTCAGACCTGAACCCCATTGAAAACTTCTGGAATGTGATCAAGAGGAAGATGGATGGTCACAAGCCATCAAACAAAGCCGAGCTGCTTGAATTTTTGTGCCAGGAGTGGCATAAAGTCACCCAACATCAATGTGAAAGACTGGTGGAGAGCATGCCAAGACGCATGAAAGCTGTGATTTAAAATCAGGGTTATTCCACCAAATATTGATTTCTGAACTCTTAGTTCAAGTTAAAACATTACTATTGTGTTGTTTAAAAATGAACATGAACTTATTTTCTTTGCATTATTCGAGGTCTGACAACACTGCATCTTTTTTGTTATTTTGACCAGTTGTCAGTAGTTTATAGAATAAAACAAAAATGTTATTTTTACCCAAACACATACCTATAAATAGTAAAACCAGAGAAACTGATAATTTTGCAGTGGTCTCTTAATTTTTTCCACAGCTATACAGTGGGGAGAACAAGTATTTGATACACTGCCGATTTTGCAGGTTTTCCTACTTACAAAGCATGTAGCATGTAGGTACACTACAACTGTGAGAGACGGAATCTAAAACAAAAATCCAGAAAATCACATTGTATGATTTTTAAGTAATTAATTTGCATTTTATTACATGACATAAGTATTTGATCACCTACCAACCAGTAAGAATTCTGGCTCTCACAGACCTGTTAGTTTTTCTTTAAGAAGCCCTCCTGTTCTCCACTCATTACCTGTATTAACTGCACCTGTTTGAACTCGTTACCTGTATAAAAGACACCTGTCCACACACTCAATCAAACAGACTCCAACCTCTCCACAATGGCTAAGACCAAAGAGCTGTGTAAGGACATCAGGGATAAAATTGTAGACCTGCACAAGGCTGGGATGGGCTACAGGACAATAGGCAAGCAGCTTGGTGAGAAGGCAACAACTGTTGGCGCAATTATTAGAAAATGGAAGAAGTTCAAGATGACGATTAATCACCCTCGGTCTGGGGCTCCATGCAAGATCTCACCTCGTGGGGCATCAATGATCATGATGAAGGTGAGGGATCAGCCCAGAACTACACGGCAGGACCTGGTCAATGACCTGAAGAGAGCTGGGACCACAGTCTCAAAGAAAACCATTAGTAACACACTACGCTGTCATGGATTAAAATCCTGCAGCGCATGCAAGGTCCCCCTGCTCAAGCCAGCGCATGTCCAGGCCCGTCTGAAGTTTGCCAATGACCATCTGGATGATCCAGAGGAGGAATGGGAGAAGGTCATGTGGTCTGATGAGACAAAAATAGAGCTTTTTGGTCTAAACTCCACTCGCTGTGTTTGGAGGAAGAAGAAGGATGAGTACAACCCCAAGAATACCATCCCAACCGTGAAGCATGGAGGTGGAAACATCATTCTTTGGGGATGCTTTTCTGCAAAGGGGACAGGATGACTGCACCGTATTGAGGGGAGGTTGGATGGGGCCATGTATCGCGAGATCTTGGCCAACAACCTCCTTCCCTCAGTAAGAGCATTGAAGATGGGTCGTGGCTGGTCTTCCAGCATGACAACGACCCGAAACACACAGCCAGGGCAACTAAGGAGTGGCTCCGTAAGAAGCATCTCAAGGTCCTGGAGTGGCCTAGCCAGTCTCCAGACCTGAACCCAATAGAAAATCTTTGGAGGGAGCTGAAAGTCAGTATTGCCCAGCAACAGCCCCGAAACCTGAAGGATCTGGAGAAGGTCTGTATGTAGGAGTGGGCCAAAATCCCTGCTGCAGTGTGTGCAAACCTGGTCAAGACCTACAGGAAACGTATGATCTCTGTAATTGCAAACAAAGGTTTCTGTACCAAATATTAAGTTCTGCTTTTCTGATGTATCAAATACTTATGTCATGCAAATTAATTACTTAAAAATCATACAATGTGATTTTCTGGATGTTTGTTTTAGATTCCGTCTCTCACAGTTGAAGTGTACCTATGACAAAAATTACAGACCTCTACATGCTTTGTAAGTAGGAAAACCTGCAAAATCGGCAGTGTATCAAATACTTGTTCTCCCCACTGTGTGTGTGTGTGTGTGTGTGTGTGTATATATATATATATATATATATATATACAGTGAGGGAAATACGTATTTGATCCCCTGCTGATTTTGTACGTTTTCCCACTGGCAAAGACATGATCAGTCTATAATTTTAATGGTAGGTTTATTTGAACAGTGAGAGACAGAATAACAACAAAAAAATCCAGAAAAATGCATGTCAAAAATGTTATAAATGGATTTGCATTTTAATGAGGGAAATAAGTATTTGACCCCCTCTCAATCAGAAAGATTTCTGGCTCCCAGGTGTCTTTTATACAGGTAACGAGCTGAGATTAGGAGCACACTCTTAAAGGGAGTGCTTTTATCTCAGCTTGTTACCTGTATAAAAGACACCTGTCCACAGAAGCAATCGATCAATCAGATTCCAAACTCTCCACCATGGCCAAGACCAAAGAGCTCTCCAAGGATGTCAGGGACAAGATTGTAGACCTACACAAACGCCTCACAGGTCCTCAACTGGCACCTTCATTAAATAGTACCTGCAAAACACCAGTCTCAACGTCAACAGTGAAGAGGCGACTCCGGGATGCTGACCTTGGCAGAGTTGCAAAGAAAAAGCCATATCTCAGACTGCCCATCTTAATCTTTTCTTTTTATTGGCCAGTCTGCGATATGTCTTTTTCTTTGCAACTCTGCCAAGGTCAGCATCCCGGAGTCGCCTCTTCACTGTTGACGTTGAGACTGGTGTTTTGCAGGTACTATTTAATGAAGGTGCCAGTTGAGGACCTGTGAGGCGTCTGTTTCTCAAACAAGAATAGGCTGACGAGTTTCAGAAGAAAGTTATTTGTTTCTGGCCATTTTGAGCCTGTAATCGAACCCACAATTGCTGATGCTCCAGATTCTCAACTAGTCTCAAGAAGGCCAGTTTTATTGCTTCTTTAATCAGCACAACAGTTTAATCAGCTGTGCTAACATAATTGCAAAAGGGTTTTCTAATTATTAATTAGCCTTTTAAAATGATAAACTTGGATTAGCAAACACAACGGTGCCATTGGAACACAGGACTGATGGTTGCTGATAATGGTCCTCTGAATGCCTATGTAGATATTCCATTAAAAATCAGCTGTTTCCAGCTACAATAGCCATTTACAAAATTAACAATGTCTACACTGTATTTCTGATCAATTTTATGTTATTTTAATTGACCAAAAAATTGCTTTTCTTTTGAAAACAAGGGCATTTCTAAGTGACCCCTAAACTTTTGAACGGTAGTGTATATTATAACATTTGTATAAAATATCACATTTCTAGTTAAGCCTGTATTAATATAATGTATCATACACCACATTTCAAGAGCCTACTAATTCGTGTCCTAATTTATAATGGTTCCAGTCTTGCTTTGATAATTTAAAAGAATTCCATCTCTTCACACAGAGTATTGCGGAGGTGTTCCGCTGTTTCATCTGTATGGAGAAGCTGCGGGACGCTCGGCTCTGCCCCCACTGCTCCAAACTCTGCTGCTTCAGCTGCATACGGGTGGGTGATGACATGTCGCCACGGGCAACGAGGCCAGCTTGTTAGCGTAACACTTCACAGCTGGGATATGAGGGGAAAATCTACAACAAGCCTTAAAAATCGTCTGTTCAGACTATCATACTTATAACTGACAGCATTAGTGAATTAAGAAAACGCTTTAGTAACCTATTTTTCTTTTTTACCAGGGAAAACCAATATTCCACTGTCATTTTAATAATGATTTTAATGAATAGAACAATTCTCATTACAGTGTTTACTTTGAAGTGTCAGGCTACAAATATTGGAAATAGATGCAGTCATGGGTGTTAGGCATCCTGTAAAAACATATACATCTATACAGTGTTACAACCTCCTCTGCAATGCTGACATGTAACCTCTTCTATTGACAGCGCTGGTTGACTGAGCAGAGAGCCCAATGCCCACACTGTCGGTAAGCCCTCCTACTGTGTTTGAACACAGTACTTAGTATTCCTGGCAGGGACTAGGGAAAGCGGGGGGATACCTAGTCAGTTGCACAACTGAATGCATTTAACCCAACCCCTCTGAATCAGAGAGGTGCGGGGGGCTGTCTTAATCGACATCCATGTCATCGGCGCCCGGGGAGCAATTGTGATTAACAACCTTTTTAGAATTCAGGCAGCAGAGTTATGAGTAAATCGAGGGAATTAAGTATAGATTTTCCCCCCAAATTCACAGCGAGGACCGATCTAGTGCCAGGATCAATTAATGATGCTAAAAGAAACACGTTTTTAAAGAAATCTTAAAGGCATACTAAACTTGGAGATCTGTATGTAACTGTTCCTTTGTCCAAATTGTTTGATTAGATGGTTTTGGATAGACTTAGGCTGTGGGCACCATTTAGGGGGCATTATTTGTCAAGACTGATCATGTGTGTATCTGTGTATGACCTTATGCGCGTGTGTCTGTATCCAGGGCACCACTGCAGCTGCGGGAGCTGGTGAACTGCCGCTGGGCTGAAGAGGTTACCCAGCAGCTGGACACCCTGCAGCTCTGCAACCTCTCCAAACACGAGGAGAACGACAAGGACAAGTGAGCCCCAGCATCCCTCCTCTATCCCTCGCTCCCCTGTGACCCATTGCCTCATTCATCATCACTACCACAGCTTTCTTTCTCTCTGTTGTTCTCTCTGCCCTCGCTCCCCCTCTCTATTCATACCCTATATTTCTGTTAGGATTGAAGACCTCTAAAACACAACCTGGACCCCATTTAAACTAAATGCAGTATGAGGCAAAAGCAACCTAGAACAATGTGTCCTTTCAGCTAGGAAATGTGAAAGGCCCAGCACATTGTAAAGTGGGCTGAGTTTATAAATGGCTTGTTGTTTTGCACTAGGTTTCCATCCAATATGTGACAGATTTTCAAGTGAATATTCTGAAAACTATATGCGTATTTTCCCACGAGTTGTGTTCCCATCAAACAGACTTGTTGTGGATAGAAAACAGTGTGTCATGACGTAGTGCACATAAAAAAGCACTTAGTCGTATAAGCTACTCTTTGAAGAGGTAGAGTTTTCTGGTGTTTTCGGAAGATGGGCAGGGACTCTGCTGTCCTAGCTTCAGGGGGAAGCTGGTTCCACCATTGGTGTGCCAGGACAGAGACGAGCTTGGACTGGGCTGAGCGGGAGCTGCCCTCCTGTAGTGGTGGGAGGGCCAAGAGACCAGAGGTGGCAGAACGGAGTGCTCGGGTTAGGGTGTAGGGTTTGAGCATAGCCTGAAGGTAGGGAGCGGCAGTTCCTCTTGCTGCTCCGTAGGCAAGCACTTTGATCTTGTGGTGGATGCGACCTTCGACTGGAAGTCAGTGGAGGAGGTGGGTAACATTGGAGAACTTGGGAAGGTTGAAATCCAGGCGGGCTGCTGCGTTCTGGATAAGTTGCAGGGGTTTGATGGCACAAGCAAGGAGCCCAGCCAACAGGGAGTTGCAGTAGTCCAGACTGGAGATGACAAGTGCCTGGATTAGGACCTGCGCCAGTTCCTGTGTGAGGTAGGGTCGTACTCTACGGATGTTGTAGAGCATGAACTTGCAAGAGCGAGGTACTGCTTTGATGTTTGCAGAGAACGACAGTGTTGTCCAGGGTCACGCCAAGGTTCTGTGGAGTTGTCAACTGTGATGTCAGTCCCCTGTAGCTCAGTTGGTAGAGCATGGCACTTGCAACGCCAGGGTTGTGGGTTCGTTTCCCACGGGGGACCAGTATGAAAATGTATGCACTCACTAACTGTAAGTCGCTCTGGATAAGAGCGTCTGCTAAATGACTTAAATGTAAATGTAAAAATGTGATGGAGAGGTCTTTGAGCGGGCAGGCCTTCCCCGGGAGGAAGAGCAGCTCAGTCCTGTCGAGCTTGAGGTGGTGGGCCGACATCCGAGCTGAGATATCTGCCAGGCGTGCAGAGATGTCTCGCCACCTGGGTGTCAGAAGAGGGGAAGGAGAAAAGTTGAGTGTCATCTGCATAGTAATGATAGGAGACACCATGTGAGGATATGACGGAGCTGAGTGACTTGGTGTATAGAGAGAAGAGGAGAGCCCTGGGGGACACCAGTAGTGAGAGTACGTGGTGCAGACAAAGATCATCTCCACGTCACCTAGTAGGAGCGGCCTGCCAGGTAGGATGCAATCCAAGGGTGTGCATAGCCTGAAATGCTCAGCCCTAAGAGGGTGGAGAGGAGGATCTGATGGTTCACTGTGTCAAAGGCAGCGGATAGATCTAAGAGGATGAGAACAGAGGAGCGAGTCAGCTTTGGCAGTGTGGAGAGCCTCTGTCACACAGAGGCTCAGTCTCGGTTGAGTGACCCGTCATGAAGCCTGACTTGTTATGGTCAAGAAGATTGTTCTGAGAGAGAAGAGTTGATGAGAGACAGCACACTCTCAAGTGTTTTGAAAAGAAAGGGATATAGGTCCTTAGTTTTTTACTTCACGAATCGAGTGTTGGTTTTTTGAGGGGAGCATTCTGGCCATTTTGAAGTCAGTGGGGACGCAGCCAGTGGTCAGGGATTAGTTAATGAGGGAAATTAGGAATGGAATAAGGTCTCCAGAGATGGTCTGGAGAAGAGAGGAGGGGATGGGGTCGAGCGGGCAGGTTGTCGGGCGGCCAGACCTCACTAGTCGCAGGATTTCATCTGGAGAGAATGGGGAGAAAGAGGTCAAGGCATAGGGTAGTTTTGTGTGAGTGGGACCAGTGGACTCAATAGGCTGAGTGAATGAGGAGCGAATGTCTTCAACCTTCTTTTCAAAGTGGTTGACAAAGTCATCCACAGAGAAGGAGGGGGTGGAGGATTAAGGAGGGAGGAGAAGGTGGAAAATAGTTTCCTAGGGTTAGATGCAGAGGAAGATAAGGTAGAGAGGAGGGAGTGAAAGGATGATAGGTCCTCCGGAAGTTTAGTTTTCCTCCATTTTTTCTCAGCTGCCCACAGCCCTGTTCTATGAGCTTGCAATGAGTCACTCAGCCACTGAGCAGGAGGGGAGGGCTGAGCTGGCCGGGAGGAAAGGGGACTGTGCGAGTCATAGGATGTGGAAAGGGAGGAGAGTAGGGTTGAAGAGGCAGAATCAGGAGACAGGAGGGAGCAGGATTTAGCAGAAGGAAGAGATGATAGGATAGAAGAGGAGAAAGTAGTGGGAGGGAAAGAGCGATGATTGCGACGGCGCATGACCATCTGGGTAGGGGCTGAGTGGCTAGGGTTGGAGAAAAGGGAGACAGAAAAGGAAACAAAGTAGTGATCAGAGATCTGGAGGGGGGTTGCAGTGAGATTAGTAGGCGAACAGCCTCTAGTAAAGATGAGGTCAAGCGAATTGCCTGCCGTGTGAGTTGGAAGGGATTGGAAAAGGGTGAGGTCAAAAAGGCAAGGAGGGGAAAGAGAGAGTTGGAAAGAAAGGCAGACATCGGGAGGTTGAAGTCGCCAAGTACGAAGAGCGGTGAGCCATCGTCAGGAAATGAGCTTATCAAGGTGTCAAGCTTATTGAGGAACTCGCCAAGTGCACCTAATGGACGATAGATGACAACAATGTTAAACTCGAGTGGACAAGTGACAGCATGGCATTCAAATGAGATGGACAGGTGAGAGAGGGAGAAAATATAAAATCTCCAGTTAGGAGAAATGAATAGCCATGTGCCACCACCGTGATGACCAGATGCTCTTGGACTAAGAGAAAAAAGGTAGTCAGTTGAAGAGTGCAGCTGGAGTAGCAGTGTTCTCTGGGGTGATCCATGTCGCCGTCAGGACCAAAAAGTAAAGGGACTGAAGGGCAGCATAGGCTGAGATGAACTCTGTATTTTTGACAGCAGATCGGCAGTTCCAAACGCTGCCAGAGACCCGGAATTCCACATGGGTTGTGCGTGCAGGGTACAGTAAATTAGAAGGGTTGAAGCCAAGGGGTGGGGAGCGTCTGTAAAGCCTACAGGGAGAGGAGCGAACAGGTATAGAAAACACACACATAGTTGCCAAAGCTACAAAAGCGCTAAATGAGATCATCAGAAAATAACTATGTAAGATACTGAAGTGATAGAGTGGTGTGGAGCCTTCCTCGAACAACTCCGCAGAACAACCCGGCAGAACCGTCTTTGTTTCGGTGACGGTCTTAGTTTTGCCGACGAGACCGCCACTGACACAACCACCACTTACAGCTGCCGCTGAGAAACCAGGGGAGACTGAAGTACTAACACTAATTGCTGATTGCCTAGGAGAGGAGAAACCCCTCCCCCGCCAATACTGCCTCTGATTACCAAAACAAGTCACAAATTACCCTGCCCCTTAATCCTGGTTGATGTGTCAACAATCATCTGCAAGTTTTGAGCAGTCGCAGTTCACACACCAAGTAGGCTTCAGCAGTTCACACACCAAGAAGGCTACTGCGAAGACAGGCAGCACTTAAAGTAGATGGCCCTAGCTAGAAAAAATACAGTACTAGACAACAACAGATAAAGACAAAAATTATACTTATCACTCCTGGAGATATCAGGAGTCCTCTAGCTATAGAATGAAGCACTTGTTGCATAATCTACAGTACCAGTCAAAAGTTTGGACTCACCTACTCATTCCGGGGTTTTTCTTTATTTTTACTATTTTCTACATTGTAGAATAATAGTGAAGACATCAACACTATGAAATAACACTTATGGAATCATGTAGTAACAAAAAAAGTGTTAAACAAATCAAAATATATTTTATATTTGAGATTCTTCAAATAGCCACCCTTTGCCTTGATGGCAGCTTTGCACACTCTTGGCATTCTCTCAACCAGCTTCATGAGGTAGTCACCTGGAATGCATTTCAATTAACAGGTGTGCCTTCAATTTGTGGAATTTATTTAATTCTTAATGCGTTTGAGCCAATCAGTTGTGTTATGACAAGGTAGGGGGTTATACAGAAGATAGCCCTATTTGGTAAAAGACCAAGTACATATTATGGCAAGAACAGCTCAAATAAGCAAAGAGAAATGACAGTCCATCATTACTTTAAGACATGAAGGTCAGTCAATCTGGAAAATTTCAAGAACTTTGAAAGTTTCTTCAAGTGCAGTCGCAAAAACCATCAAGCGCTATGATGAAACTGGCTCTCATGAGGACCGCCACAGGAATGGAAGACCCAGAGTTACCTCTGCTGCAGAGGATAAGTTCATTAGAGTTACCAGCCTCAGAAATTGCAGCCCAAATAAATGCTTCACAAAGTTCAAGTAACAGACTGTGTGAATCAGGCCTTCATGGTCGAATTGCTGCAAAGAAACCACTACTAAAGGACACCAATAAGAAGAAGAGACCTGCTTGGGCCAAGAAACACGAGCAATGGACATTAGACCGGTGGAAATGTGTCCTTTGGTCTGGAGTCCAAATTTGAGATTTTTGGTTCCAACTGCTGTGTCTTTGAGACGCGGTGTGGATGAACGGATGATCTCTGCATGTGTATTTCCCACCATAAAGCATGGAGGAGGAGGTGTTATGGTGTGGGGGTGCTTTGCTGGTGACACTGTCTGTGATTTATTTAGAATTCAAGGCACACTTAACCAGCATGGCTACCACAGCATTCTGCAGTGATACACCATCCCATCTGGTTTGGGCTTCGTGGGATTGTCATTTGTTTTTCAACAGGACAATGACCCAACACACCTCCAGGCTGTGTAAGGGCTATTTGACCAAGAAGGAGAGTGATGGAGTGCTGCATCAGATGACCTGGCCTCCACAATCCTCTCACCTCAACCCAATTGAGATGGTTTGGGATGAGTCGGACTGCAGAGTGAAGGAAAAGCAGCCAACAAGTGCTCAGCATATGTGGGAACTCCTTCAAGACCGTTGGAAAAGCATTCCAGGTGAAGCTGGTTGAGAGAATGCCAAGAGTGTGCAAAGCTGTCATCAAGGCAAAGGGTGGCTATTTGAAGAATCTCAAATATAAATACATTTTGATTTGTTTAACACTTTTTTGGTTACTACATGATTCCATATGTGTTATTTCATAGTTTTGATGTCTTCACTATTATTCTACAATGTAAAAAATAGTAAAAATAAAGAAAAACCCTTGAATGAGTAGGTGTGTCCAAACTTTTGACTGGTAGTGTATTTCAAATTGGCCATGTTGTCAAGCGTATTTTGTTTTGTTCGACTTTTGAAAAGTTTATCGACAAATTCTGCGTTTCCATCAGGCCTATCGTGACATTTTTTATCCGACATGTACTTTACTCGCATAAGAAGGTTGGATGGTAACCTGCTTCATGTGACAGAAAATGTGCTGAGAAGAGATTCCATAGGGTCTGGATGTGTCAGTTGTCTATGGTTTGTCTACAGGTGTGAGAACCACCATGAGAAGCTCAGTGTGTTCTGCTGGACCTGTAAGAAGTGCATCTGCCACCAGTGTGCTCTGTGGGGAGGCATGGTAAGTGGCCCACAGAGGAGTATTCTCAGTCAAGCCCACATACCTTTGGTATAACAAAACAAGTGCTCTGTCATTTTTATGTTTACCCCTTTTCCTTCCCCAAGCATGGCGGCCACACCTTCAAGCCTCTGGCTGAGATCTACGAGCAGCACGTGACCAAGGTGAACGAGGAGGTGGCCAAGCTCCGCCGCCGCCTCATGGAGCTCATCAGCCTGGTGCAGGAAGTGGTGAGGGGCACTTGTTTCGGTTTCTTTTTTTAGCTTGGTTAGAAGCACACATGAAAGAATAGTATCAATATCACTACTGCACACTGCTGAATTTAGCCACTAGATGGCACAAGGGCACTACAGCTAATTCTCCTCTGTAGTGATGGGATGCCTCCTCTACTCTATCCCTCTGTGATGACAGATGAAGTTACCGTTGTACCAAAATACATTACTGCTCCGCAACAGTCTGCCTTAATTCAACATATGTTTTCTGGCTCTCTCAGGAAAGGAATGTGGAAGCAGTGCGAGGGGCCAAAGACGAGCGAGTGCGAGAGATCCGTAATGCAGTAGAGATGATGATTGCCCGTCTGGACAACCAGCTCAAAAACAAACTCATCACCCTCATGGGTACGCTCATTTCATGACACCATTCAGGTTTCTCTCTAGTCACTGGAATGCCCTTCTATGTCACTGAAATATTATCTTTAAATGAAAATGTCCTCTCACAACAGGTCAGAAGACCTCCCTCACCCAAGAGACTGAGCTACTGGAGTCTCTCCTGCAAGAGGTGGAACATCAGGTGTGTGTACCATACCAGTATACAGTGTACCATTTAAAAAAAAGATTTAACACCAATAAACCGAAAGGCAATGGGAACACCATAGGTAGCACTAAAAGTGGATTGGAAATGTGTTGTACCTGCTTGAGAGGGTGTGTTTCTTGCAGGACATACTGTGTTGTCTTGTGGTTTGTGTAGGCAGGTGTTTAGGAGGAGAGTGGGGAGTGAGCGTTTTCGGTGGCAGTCTGGCACGCCACACCGTACAGCACTCTGGGTAGCAGGAAGCTGAGCGAGAGGAGGCACTGAGCCACCAATCGTCTAGAGGCTTTCTGTCTTTTCATATCCTCTTCATCTGCACTGGCCCTGAACAGACAGGATGGTCAAAGCAGTGATGTTCATGACCATGATGTGCTTTCACCTGTCCAGTTCTTTCACATCAGTGCAGATAAAGAAAAGGAGAAAAGGATAGGAAGCCACTTCAGACTACTGAGATGCACTTTTTGTTTTCTGAGCAAACTGATTTGAAACTTTAAGAAACCAGGTGCGTTCGCCCTGATTTGAAACTTGTGAAAAACATCAAGATTTTATGGTGTTAGATGAGTAAATGATTGACGAGAGCTTGATTATCCTACCCATTTCACAGTCCAGAGATTTCTTTATTTCAAAACTGAGCCTAAATTCAATGGTTGCCAGTGCCCTGAGAGAATGGCTGTCCATTCCGACATGTAAATCTTTCAGGACTTTTCTCAGGGTCTTTAATGCTTTTTGCATAGTAATTTGAGGAAAAACAACAAGCTGTTCTCAAACCTTCACACAGGTGTTTTCTTATAAATTGACTTCTCTGAAGTCACAACCTTGGCTTTTTCATCGCCTGTGGAACTTTACCTTGAGTGTGTCATGCCACCAGTGAAATGAGATGCATTAAGAGTGGGGGTGGCGGGGGAGTGGTGGTCAGGTGTTGCCCTGCAGAGCTCTTCAATTGTGTGTGGTGTTCTCTGTCCTACAGCTGCGCTCCTGCAGTAAGAGCGAGTTGATCTCCAAGAGTCCAGAGATCCTGCTCATGTTCCAGCAGGTTCACCGCAAGCCCATGCAGTCCTTTGTCACCACTCCAGTCCCCCCAGACTTCACCAGGTAACATACTAACTAAACCTACTGCACAAAACCCATTTGGCATTTTACTGTACCTACACACCTCCCTAGGTACTGTACTAAACCACAGATCATGCGACTAGAGAACTTGATAATATTTTTTTGGCATATTTTATTGTCGGCAGAGAAAGGAGGCTCCACTTAGATGTTCAGTTCAATTTTGTATTGTCAGATATACATTTCCATTTGGATGATTCATAATGCAGCAAGATATTGTTATGCTTTTAATGGATATTTCATGACATTGAGAAGTGTAATTACGGAACAACACTCTCTCTCCACAGTGAGCTGGTTCCTGCCTATGACTCAAGCACTTTTGTTCTGGCAAACTTCAGGTAAAAAAATCATCTCTGTATCTAGTCTTGAAAATGTTTGGATATGAGCTTGTGTATGCACAAGGAATAGAAATCGACAGTCTTTGAACAACAAACTAAACATCTTTTAGCTTCCGTTTCTTGGAAAATAGTAAAGTACCCCATTGGGTTGCTCATACTTTATTTTGGGTTGCCAGGTCCAAGGCTCTGATTAAGGCAACCAGGGACACGTCGGCCCATGATGAGCAATCTCTCTCTCGTTGTGACACTTCACCAAGAAGCAGTTGGAAATGTCTTGTTTAATGAATGGGTTCCTCCTATCTGACTTGTTTTTCTGCCTGTGTGTTGCGTTGTCCTTACAGCACCCTGAGACAGAGGGCAGATCCCGTCTACAGCCCACCACTCCAGATATCTGGCATCTGCTGGAGACTCAAGGTTTACCCAGTGAGTAGACACACCAACAATTGGTTGTTCTCTAGTACTTAGTAGTAATTGCTACCAAACTACTAATGATCTCTTATGTTCATCATATCTTACTCTAACTACTAGATTTGATATGTCACCTTTTCCACAACTAAGTGGTCAATATTGGAGATTGTGAAAAACTCTCTGGTTTAATGTTCATCATTATTAGGGGTTCAAGCAGCGAACCTGGTGAAACCCTGTTGGATTTCTTGGCATTCAGTACGGGTTCAAGCAGCAAAGCTGGTTTCTTCTGGTTTATTATTATTATTATTATTATTATTATTATTATTATTATACCGGTTCTTCTTGCAAGGAAAATGTAACATGCAAATTCCTGTGAGATGTTAAGGCAGAGGGTGCAACTTGACATGATGGTAAAGGCCAATTGGCCACAAGGTAGCACTATAACAGGCAATTTAAATTGCATACTTTGAAAAGTCACGCCTCTCACCCCATATGACCTAATGTCCTGAAATTCAGTGCATATGTCCCTCTTCTCACAAGGATCACATTTGCCTCAAGGACCCATAATGTCTGTCATAATGGATTTTCCGGCATTTAGAATTTTGTGAAAAACACTTAAATGACATATCCTCCACTGGGTTGATCTGGATGAACCTTGACATATGGCATCTATGGACCAAGGTCTCTCAACGCAATATTTTCCAGACTGGCATGTCAAACAACATGGCGCTACTGACCAATAAATGTGATCGTGGTCTGGCACATTAATGCATATAAATCAGACATTAATATTTGTGTTGTAACCAAACTTGGTACACATGTTCAAAACACTGTCAAGACTCAACATATGCAAGTATATTCAGATCGACGTTGTTGGCACTATTATGGCACATGTTTATATCTCTCGATCGTTTTGACTCGGTGATGCAATTTGGCACACATTTTATGAGTCTAGCTAATCTGTTAAGTATGGTTATGGTTCAGTTTGGCCGCATGTGGGCGCTGTTGGAAAAAGAATAATTCATGCAAGCTTATTGCGGCCATATTGTTTGAGCAAGCGTCTTGGAAAATATTGCGTTTGAAGATGTTAATCCATATGTGATGTATACCAAATTTGGTGCAGATCAGTCTAGCTGTTTTGGAGAAAATGTTTAAACTAGTCAACATCATAAAAAATAGTCCAAAATATGCATATTGCATGATTTTTAAAATTTTGTGTTGTGGTATTTGGCAAGCGTGATAAGGAGTACAGAAGTAGCTCCTCTAGAGCGATATGCCCACATCTTGAACCCCGACATTGCTTCTTGCAGCTATATTTATTATGTTCCTTCTGCCAATTTGGTGAAAAAATGTGAATTCCAGTGAGATGGTAAGGCCTAGGAGGGTGCACCCTTGCATTATGGTAAAGGGCCAAAGGCCACACCCTCCTATGCAATTCCATGCCAATTGGCCAGATGGTGGCGCTATAACAAGAGATTGAAAATGCAAACTTTGAAAGCTCACTCCGTGTGACGTAGAGTCGTGAAATTTGGAACATAGGTCTGTCTCTTCACAAGGAACAAATTTGCCTCAACAACCCATAAGGTCCGCCATGATGGATTTTTCGCCATTTACAATTTGGTGAAAAACACTTAATATGCTACTCCTCTGGCACTGAATGACCGATCTGCACGAAACTTGATATATGACCTCTTTGGACCAAGGTCTCTTAACGCTATATAACACACTAGTATATCAAACAAAATGGCCGCTACTGACCAATAAACATTAATGTGGGCATGGTCTGGCACGGAAATGCATATAAATCAGACACTGATAATCGTAGTGTAACAACTTGGTACATATGTCCCAAACATATGCAAGCACATTCAGATCGACCACACAGTGATGCTATAATGGACATGTTTATATCTCTTGATCTGTTTGACTCCGAGTGATGAATTTTGACACGTGCTCAGGGACATGAGTAGCTAAGCTGTAAAGTATGGTTAAGTTTGGCCACATGGTGGCGCTGTTGGACAGGATAAAACATTAATGCAAGCTCATTGGCTCATAGCAGGCGTATCGTTTGAGCTGGTGTCCTGGAAAATATAGGGTTTGAAGACATGGGTACATAGATGCTATGTACCAATTGCTCCATTGGTTCTGGAGAAGAAGACGTGTAAAGTATTTAACATCATTGAAAATTTGTGCTGCGCGATTAACCAAAATGAGTTTTTAACAATTAATTGACCAACGTCTGTTCAATTATTTGAATTCCATTTAGTTCAGTTTTTTACTGTGCACAGTTTCTCTAGAGATACATCCGATCCAGCTTGAACCTCTGCTTGCACCCCTGCTTGCAGCTATATTGTGTGTTTGTTTTTCCCTTCAGGATGGCAATGGTGTGGTGCGTGGCAACTATCTGTCAGTTTTCTTGGAACTATCTGCAGGACTCCCTGAAACGTCAAAGTATGTTTTTCTCAAATTATTGGAATTTCTCTTTCTTTGAATCAAGTTTTCACTTGTATTTATGTCACCTTCAACGTGTGTATTTTGTGTGTCTATAGATATGAGTACCGTGTGGAGATGGTCCATCAGGCCTCCAGCGACCCCACTAAGAACATCATCAGGGAGTTTGCATCAGACTTTGAGGTGGGGGAGTGCTGGGGCTACAACCGCTTCTTCAGACTGGACCTGCTGGCTAGCGAGGGCTACCTCAACATGCAGACTGACACAGTGGTCCTCAGGTTACCACTAATACACATTAGAGAGAAAGATGCCATTTCTTTATCAATTCTTATAACTCTGGGTTTAGTGTCTTCATTGAAGTCTTGTTTGGCTGTTGAGTTGACTGTCTCTCTCCTGAACAGGTATCAGGTGCGTTCGCCCACCTTCTTCCAGAAGTGCAGAGACCAGTACTGGTACATTAGCCAGCTGGAGTCAGCCCAGTCCAGCTACATCCAGCAGATCAACAACCTCAAAGAGGTGGGTTTTAGATCACCACAAATTAATCTCTAATTAATGTAAACTAAAATGATTTGCGGTAAGTCAGTGCATATTATGTCTACACGTTCTCAGAGGCTGGCCATTGAGCTGTTCCGTAGGCAAAAGTCTCGCAGCTCGTCCCCTCCTGACCAGCGCCTGTGCCCCTCGACCTCAGAGAGAGACTCCCGCTCAGGGAAAGGCCCCGTGGCTGAGGATGGCTGCCAGACCACTGCCACCGAGACCAAAGAGGAAGAGGAGGAGGAGAAGACCCAGCACGATGACTCCAATGTGAGTCACTCCGACATGATCACTTTGTCATCATATTCATGATGACCACAGAGGTTCACTCTGTATTGGTTCATATTTATGGTTCAAGATGGTGCACACAACACATGATTATAGTACCCACACACACCGATTAGAAGCTCTTCAGTTTTATAGCTACAGTGAGGGAAAGTATTTGATCCCCTGTTGATTTTGTACGTTTGCCCACTGACAAAGACATGATCAGTTTATAATTTTAATGGTAGGTTTATTTGAACAGTGAGAGACAGAATAACAACAAAAAAATCCAGAAAAAACGCCTGTCAAAAATGTTATAAATTGATTTGCATTTGAATGAGGGAAATAAGTATTTGACCCCTCTGCAAAACATGACTTAGTACTTGGTGGCAAAACCCTTGTTGGCAATCACAGAGGTCAGATGTTTCTTGTAGTTGGCCACCAGGTTTGCACACATCTCAGGAGGGATTTTGTCCCACTCCTCTTTGCAGATCTTCTCCAAGTCATTAAGGTTTCGAGGCTGACGTTTGGCAACTCGAACCTTCAGCTCCCTCCACAGATTTTCTATGGGATTAAGGTCTGGAGACTGGCTAAGCCACTCCAGGACCTTAATTTGCTTCTTCTTGAGCCACTCCTTTGTTGCCTTGGCCGTGTGTTTTGGGTCATTGTCATGCTGGAATACCCATCCACGACCCATTTTCAATGCCCTGGCTGAGGGAAGGAGGTTCTCACCCAAGATTTGACGGTACATGGCCCCGTCCATCGTCCCTTTGATGCGGTGAAGTTGTCCTGTCCCCTTAGCAGAAAAACACCCCCAAAGCATAATGTTTCCACTTCCATGTTTGACGGTGGGGATGGTGTTCTTGGGGTCATAGGCAGCATTCCTCCTCCTCCAAACACGGTGAGTTGAGTTAATGCCAAAGAGCTCGATTTTGGTCTCATCTGACCACAACACTTTCACCCAGTTCTCATCTGAATCATTCAGATGTTCATTGGCAAACTTCTGACGGGCCTGTATATGTGCTTTCTTGAGCAGGGGGACCTTGCAGGCGCTGCAGGATTTCAGTCCTTCACGGCGTAGTGTGTTACCAATTGTTTTCTTGGTGACTATGGTCCCAGCTGACTTGAGATCATTGACAAGATCCTCCCGTGTAGTTCTGGGCTGATTCCTCACCGTTCTCATGATCATTGCAACTCCACGAGGTGAGATCTTGCATGGAGCCCCAGGCCGAGGGAGATTGACAGTTCTTTTGTGTTTCTTCCATTTGCGAATAATCGCACCAACTGTTGTCACCTTCTCACCAAGCTGCTTGCCGATGGTCTTGTAGCCCATTCCAGCCTTGTGTAGGTCTACAATCTTGTCCCTGACATCCTTGGAGAGCTCTTTGGTCTTGGCCATGGTGGAGAGTTTGGAATCTGATTGATTGATTGCTTCTGTGGACAGGTGTCTTTTATACAGGTAACAAGCTGAGATTAGGAGCACTCCCTTTAAGAGTGTGCTCCTAATCTCAGCTGGTTACCTTTATAAAAGACACCTGGGAGCCAGAAATCTTTCTGATTGAGAGGGGGTCAAATACTTATTTCCCTGATTTAAAATGAAAATCAATTTATAACATTTTTTACATGCGTTTTTCTGGATTTTTTTGTTGTTATTCTGTCTCACTGTTCAAATAAACCTACCATTAAAATTATAGACTGATAATTTCTTCGTCAGTGGGCAAACGTACAAAATCAGCAGGGGATCAAATACTTTTTTCCCTCACTGTATGTATGTCTCGAGGCCAGTGGTCGAAACGGTTAAATGGTCTGTGGATAGGATAGTCTCCTTCATATTCACACAGGGGCGCAACTTTGGTTTTAGAAGTGGGGGGGACATAATAAATAAATATATATACAGTGGGGAAAAAAAGTATTTAGTCAGCCACCAATTGTGCAAGTTCTCCCACTTACAAAGATGAGAGAGGCCTGTAATTTTCATCATAGGTACACGTCAACTATGACAGACAAATTGAGAATTTTCTTCCCAGAAAATCACATTGTAGGATTTTTAATGAATTTATTTGCAAATTATGGTGGAAAATAAGTATTTGGTCACCTACAAACAAGCAAGATTTCTGGCTCTCACAGACCTGTAACTTCTTCTTTAAGAGGCTCCTCTGTCCTCCACTCGTTACCTGTATTAATGGCACCTGTTTGAACTTGTTATCAGTATAAAAGACACCTGTCCACAACCTCAAACAGTCACACTCCAAACTCCACTATGGCCAAGACCAAAGAGCTGTCAAAGGACACCAGAAACAAAATTGTAGACCTGCACCAGGCTGGGAAGACTGAATCTGCAATAGGTAAGCAGCTTGGTTTGAAGAAATCAACTGTGGGAGCAATTATTAGGAAATGGAAGACATACAAGACCACTGATAATCTCCCTCGATCTGGGGCTCCACGCCAAAATCTCACCCATGAAAACTTAGATACAAGACGGTGCAGCGACAGTCCCAAACCATCACTGACCTAGTGGATGACCTCAGAGAGTGGGCCAAAAAACTACCACGCAACACGGCGTGACAAATCCTAGTGGCTCAGAACGTTGCCTGCTTATGCCAAAAGTGTAGTACAAAGTTTGAGAAACTTTTGGATGACCAAAGTACGATTTGGACATAATGTCAATATGTCGATTGAAACCAAATTGACTTTTTGGTAAAAAAAATTCCTTTTTGTGACAAGATGCTGGTTGTACCATGAAAACATACCGCTGTGAATCTTTAGTGGGAAACTGCAATTGGTGGGCTGTTTTTTCCGCAAGGTACCAGATACTTGATCCTTAATATCCATGTTCGTGAATTTAGTAAAACCTCCTTCCATCAGCAAGGGCATTGAAGATGAAACGTGGCTGGGTCTTTCAGCATGACAATGATCCCAAACACACCGCCCGGGCAACGAAGGAGTGGCTTCGTAAGAAGCATTTCAAGGTCCTGGAGTGGCCTAGCCAGTCTCCAGATCTCAACCCCATAGAAAATCTTTGGAGGGAGTTGAAAGTCCGTGTTGCCCAGCGACAGCCCCAAAACATCACTGCTCTAGAGGAGATCTACATGGAGGAATGGGCCAAAATACCAGCAACAGTGTGTGAAAACCTTGTGAAGACTTACAGAAAACGTTTGACCTGTGTCATTGCCAACAAAGGGTATATAACAAAGTATTGAGAAACTTTTGTTATTGACCAAATACTTATTTTCCACCATAATTTCCAAATAAATTCATTAAAAATCCTACAATGTGATTTTCTGGAAAAAAAATTCTCATTTTGTCTGTCATAGTTGACGTGTACCTATGATAAAAATTACAGGCCTCTCTCATCTTTTTAAGTGGGAGAACTTGCACAATTGGTGGCTGACTAAATACTTTTTTTCCCCACTGTATATATTATTTATTTATTTTATCCAGTCGGATAAACACTCCAAACAGCCTACCCGACCGCTCGGAGGCGTCCGTATGGTCCTAAAGCACACCGTTGCCTCGTTTTGTATCACATTCCAATGATAAAACTGGGGGTGGGGGACAAAAATGCAAGTTGCGCCCCTGTATTCACATAATAATATTTTAACAGAAGAAGATAAAATACAGCAGAGTAGGAAAAGCTGTTTCGTGTTAAGCACTAAATGCTGTTATGTAAATGCTGCGCTAACGTTGTGGTGTGGTCAGGAGCTGTCTGATGGGGACTTGGAAGGGGACTGTCTGACGGGGGACGAGGAGGTCAACCCTCTGGATGGTAGCAGCACCTCGGGCAGCTCCACGGCAACCAGCAACACAGAGGAGAACGACATCGACGAGGAGACCATGTGAGTGACCCAGCGCCACAGTCACCCCTAACCACAGAGCTTTCTCTCTAGTTTTAGTCCACCAATTGTTTGAGGGGGGAAAATGCAGAAATTATATTATCTGCATCTTATTTTTATATGAGTCGTGTATGCGGACTTCATCAACGTGAAGTTTTCAAACCCCTGAGCCCAGAGAGACTGTGTGTGTGGAGTGCAGGGCTGTTGCTGAAGCATTCGTCTCACATGTTCTCTCTCTCTTCTCCACCCCCTCACTGTGAGCTCACCAGATGAGCCATCCGTGAGTCATCACTGCTCCTCATACCGCCTGGCTGAGTGCAAAAAAATAACACAAAGCTCTCCAGCTCCTTCCACGCACGCACACACACACACATGCACATACACTAGGGTTGAATATTTTCCAGAAAATCTACCCATTTTCTTTCCCGAGAAAATTGCAACCATATCACGGTATTCCTGAAAGTTCTGTCAGTCACCACACAATTTGTTGATGTAGTTTAGTTTAAATGTAGGCCTAAAATATTATGAGGTTATTAGCCTACAGACTAGTGAACATTACATTTGTTTTAGCTTACCATTGACTGAAATATGTCAGCCAGCTTGTTAACCCTTTTCTCTCCCCTTGCGCTTGGCTATCAGGGGAATTTCGGGAGGTTGTGTTTTTACTTTATGATAGTCACCACATTAAGTGGGTTTTGTCACAGGGAACATATTAGATTCTCTGCTAAACAAACAGACAAGCAAATAGGCCTAGTAGCGGAGATTAAGTTGATCAAATCCCTGCAAATCTGACTAGTCAAACCCGTGGATTTGCTTTTGTTATTGTAACATCATGTTGCAAATGTCTATTTCCTCGAGTGTGTTTGTGGACACAATGTACCAGCCATTTTGTTAACAGTAAGTAGCTGCAATTTATATTTTGAGCCTCTGCCAGTGCCACAAAGATAGTTTGGAGATTTGTGAATATAAAATGGGAATTGCCTTCAGTAAGTAACTGCATTGAGAAGTCAGCAATGCAATTTATAGAAGTCATGCAAGAAAGTGGTGTTTTCTATTGGGGACTTTACATTGAGAAGGCTCAATATGGTAGGCTGCTAGCATTGAGAATACTGGTCTAATGTAGGCTATGAATGAAGCCAGAGAATTGACATTTCCGATTCATGCATGCAGCAATTCGCACATGTATTTTTGCAATAGTGCTACATAAATTTTTTTATATTATTGGTCCACGGGACCCGTCAATAATTCTCGGGAAACGGGAAGGAGCTTGGTCGGGAAGTCCCAGGGTACTGGTCACCAGTAAACCCTGATATACACACATACGTCCAGTTTATTAGGTATACCCAACTAGTACTCTGCCTCCAGAACAGCCTGAATTCTTCGGGGCATGGAAACATTACTCAATTGGTATTAAGGGACCTAACGTGTGCCAGGAAAACATTCCCCACACCATTACATCACCGCCACCAGTCTGTACCGTTGACACCAGGCAGGATGGCACCATGGACTCATGCTGCTTACACCAAATCCTGACTCTGCCATCAGCATGACGCAACAGGAACCAAGATTCGTTGGACCAGGCAATGTTGTTACACTCCTCAATTGACCAATGTTGGTGATGAAGTGCCCACTGGAGCCGCTTCTTCTTGTTTTTAGCCGATAGGAGTGGAACTCGGTGTGGTCGTCTGCTGCAATAGCCCATCCGTGACAAGGACCGACGAGTTGTGCGTTTCGAGATTCCGTTCTGCACACCACTGTTGTACTGCGCCGTTATTTGCATGTTTGTGGCCCGCCTGTTAGCTTGCACGATTCTTGCCATTTTCCTTTGACCTCTCATCAACAAGCTGTTTTCGCCCACAGTACTGCCGCTGACTGGATGTTTTTTGTTTGTCGCACCATGACTGTAAGTCACTTTGGATAAAAGCGTCTGCTAAATGGCATATTATTATTATTATTATTATTATTATATTATATTATTATTGTCGGTAAACCCTAGACATTGTTGTGTGTGAATAGCCCAGGAGGCTGTCCATTTCTGAGATACTGGAACCTGCACGCCTGGCACCAACGATCATACCATGCTCAAAGTCGCTTAGGTCTAACGTTCAATCGAAAGGTAACTGTATGCCTCTGCTTGTCTGCTTTATATAGCAAGCCGCGGGCACGTGACTCACTGTCTGTAGGAGCGAACCATTTTCATGAACGGTGTTTGTAACAAACTGGACACTGAGTGTACCTACACATTATCTCACATGTACCGTATACATAAAGACAAGTATGCATACACAGAAACATAGAGAACCCTTGCACACGCACACACACACACACACACACACACACACACACACACACACACACACACACACACACACACACACAGAGAAATACACACATTGTCCAATCTCCCATGCCTCTCCTGAAACACTTAAATCCATGTTAGTGCTCCATGTTTGCTTTTAACAAGGATCCTCTCAGGCCCCGTAGGGGAAACTACAGTCAATTGTCAGCCCCACTCTCTGACCACAAGGCACTTCTCACTCACTCACTCAATGCTGTCGGTCCAGTAGGGCTTTTTTTTCTCTCCCTGTGGTTGGACAGATGCTCTGGGATGTGTTGCTCCGTTGTTCCCCCGTCTATAAATGTGCTGAGCGGTGTGCGCCGGCGAGTGAGAAAAGCTCTGCTGGAGATCTGACTCATGTTGTACTGGAGACTGATACAATAGCTGCTGTGTTTCCCCTGTTATCCCCTCTTCTCCCCCGGGGCATACCTAAAGGAATGTGTACAGGGCATTCTTACACAGACCGACGTATACGAGCATGCATAAAGTACATGCAGACACACACACGGACACTTACTTGAATACTCTCAAATGGGCACGCACATCCCATGGGGCCATTTGGCCCCTGCTAAAAGAACAGAATGACTCGTCATGAAGTTGTACCATTCCAGAGAGAACATTGCAGTGCACTGTCCATCCAGTTCATCAGTAGAGATACAGTGCATTCGGAAAGTATTTAGACCCCTTGACTTTTTCCACATTTTGTTACGTTACAGCCTTATTCTGAAATTGATTAAATTGTTTTTTTTCCCCTCATCAATCTACAAACAATACCGCATAATGACAAAGCAAAAACAGATTTTTATAAATTTGTGCAAATGTATATATTTAAAAAAACTATTACATTTACATAAGCATTCAGACACTTTACTCAGTACTTTGTTGAAGCACCTTTGGCTGGGGCACTCAAGGACATTCAGAGACTTGTCCCGAAGCCACTCCTGCGTTGTCTTGGCTGTGTGCTTAGGGTCGTTGTCCTGGAAGGTGAACCTTCACCCCCAGTCTGAGGTCCTGAGCGCTCTGGAGCAGGTTTTCATCAAGGATCTCTCTGTACTTTGCGCCGTTCATCTTTCCCTCAATCCTGACTAGTCTCCCAGTGCCTGCCGCTGAAAACTACCCCACAGCATGATGCTGCCACCACCATGCTTCACCGTAGGGATGGTGCCAGGTTTCCTCCAGATGTGACGCTTGGCATTCAGGCCAAAGAGTTCAACCTTGGTTTCATCAGACCAGAGAATCTTTTTTTGAATTTTATTTTAGGGGGTAGATCAGCTTTAATATTGCAGATAGATTGTAGCTTCCGTCAATGTAATTGTCTGCATCACTTCCAATCCCCCATATATGTTTTGCAAAAAAAAAAAAATAATATATATATATATATATATATATATATATATATATACACACACAGTGGGGAGAACAAGTATTTGATACACTGCCGATTTTGCAGGTTTTCCTACTTACAAAGCATGTAGAGGTCTGTCATTTTTATCATAGGTACACTTCAACTGTGAGAGACAGAATCTAAAACAAAAATCCAGAAAATCATATTGTATGATTTTTAAGTAATTCATTTGCATTTTATTGCATGACATAAGTATTTGATCACCTACCAACCAGTAAGAATTCCGGCTCTCACAGACCTGTTAGTTTTTCTTCAAGAAGCCTTCCTGTTCTCCACTCATTACCTGTATTAACTGCACCTGTTTGAACTTGTTACCTGTATAAAAGACACCTGTCCACACACTCAATCAAACAGACTCCAACCTCTCCACAATGGCCAAGACCAGAGAGCTGTGTAAGGACTTCAGGGATAACATTGTAGACCTGCACAAGGCTGGGATGGGCTACAGGACAATAGGCAAGCAGCTTGGTGAGAAGGCAAAAACTGTTGGCGCAATTATTAGAAAATGGAAGAAGTTCAAGATGACGGTCAATCATCCTCGGTCTGGGGCTCCATGCAAGATCTCACCTCGTGGGGCATCAATGATCATGAGGAAGGTGAGGGATCAGCCCAGAACTACACGGCAGGACCTGGTCAATGACCTGAAGAGAGCTGGGACCACAGTCTCAAAGAAAACCATTAGTAACACACTACGCCATCATGGATTAAAATCCTGCAGCGCACGCAAGGTCCCCCTGCTCAAGCCAGCGCATGTCCAGGCCCGTCTGAAGTTTGCCAATGTCCATCTGGATGATCCAGAGGAGGAATGGGAGAAGGTCATGTGGTCTGATGAGACAAAAATAGAGCTTTTTGGTCTAAACTCCACTCGCCGTGTTTGGAGGAAGAAGAAGGATGAGTACAACCCCAAGAACACCATCCCAACCGTGAAGCATGGAGGTGGAAACATCATTCTTTGGGGATGCTTTTCTGCAAAGGGGACAGGCCGACTGCACCGTATTGAGGGGAGGATGGATGGGGCCATGTATCGTGAGATCTTGGCCAACAACCTCCTTCCCTCAGTAAGAGCATTGAAGATGGGTCGTGGCTGGGTCTTCCAGCATGACAACGACCCAAAACACACAGCCAGGGCAACTAAGGAGTGGCTCCGTAAGAAGCATCTCAAGGTCCTGGAGTGGCCTAGCCAGTCTCCAGACCTGAACCCAATAGAAAATCTTTGGAGGGAGTTGAAAGTCTGTATTGCCCAGCGACAGCCCCGAAACCTGAA